GGTCCCCCACTGTGGGAACGCTCCACCTGCTGAGTAAGGCTTGGTGTAAGAACTTAATGCAGTCGGCTGAATGACTGCATTCTATCACAAGGGGGCGCTATTCTGCAAGGTTTGACTCATATCCTCCTGCATGACGCATCCCAACTCTCAGTGACTGCATTGTCCCTTATTAAATGATTTGAAAGTATGACCAAACATGTCATCTATTTATTTCCAGGCTGACGGCAACAATGTAATTCACATTTCAACATGTCGGCAACACTTCTAGAGTCAGATCTGAGCTGCAGCCAGTACCTGTTTGTGATGCTGCATCTGCAGTCTCTCCAGCTTGCATCTCTCCGTACGTTCTCTCTGACACTCGTTCTGTGCCTGGTGAAGCTGAACCAAACACACAATAACACAATTAGTGGAGAAAAAAACCAGAGTAATTCAGTTATGATTGTAATTTAATGCAAGAAAGAAAAAAAGCATATGTTATCATGCCACACACACAGGACAGTTAAACTGTAAACACACAGCTTACCTGATTTGTCAAATTAGTGATCTGACCCTGGAGTCTCTCAACTTGCCGCCTCAAGTCCTCCTTTTCCTCGTTCATTCGCTCCCTGTCACTTCTCTCTTTTCTGAAGTCTTCTTCAAAGATCTTTACCTGAAGTACAAAACAACAACAAATACAATCAGTTGAGGAAATGAACGTATAAGTGCAAAAAGAACCATGTACTTGTGAGTGTATATTTCAACTAAAAACTGACCTGTTCCTTTAGTACAGCAATTTGAGTGAGCAGTTCCTGTTTCTTCAGGTTATTGGCTGCATCAGGAAAGTTAGCCTGACCCGGTGGTTTTTGGGAGGATGAAGGGGTGTGCAGGTTTAAGGCTTCCTCTAAGGCCTGATGTAAGACAAAAAAAGTATTAGAGGAAACGTCTCAGTGGAAAAGATGCAGTAATAGATTAAGAGATGAAGTGCACTCACCCTGTTGAGGCGTTGGATCTCCTTCTCCTGGTACTCCCTCTGTTTGCTGAGGGGTAGCAGCTGATCTTGCAGGTAGCGAACCTTCTGCTTAAGCTCAGTGGTCTCAGAGTTCAGGCACTCCTTCTCCCCCTGAAATAAAACGCACAGAAAACATTGAAACACCTTTCTTATTTCATTCAAGAAATCCCTCAAAACTCCTAATCCACTAGCCCCTCCCCCTTAATCCACGTAGTTTAGCACTTTTTACTTTTGTTGTTATTTTTTTTTTCTTTAATTGCTTGTAAACCGCTATATAAATGACTTATTATTAGTATCTGAATACACTTTTTCCTCCCTGTTTCTGTGTCCAAGTTTTGAAATGTTAGACTTGTTTCCACCTTGGTTTTTAGTCTTGGTGGTTCTCACCTGCACATTTTCAATCTTGGACTTGGCCAGCAGCAGCTTCTTGTCGTAGTCGCGCTGCCTTTGCTCTCGCTCTGCCTCCAGCTCCAGCACAGTTTTCTGGGACTCAGCCAGCCGTTGTCTGAGGTCTGTGATCTGGAGAGATGTTTTAAACCATTTAGTCGTGTGCAGAATTCACCCAGTACACAGTTCTAAAATCCAATTCTCATGAACACAAACCAAAATGAAAAAAAATGGTTACCTGATAACATCTATCTGGTAAAGATGAAACATCAGCTGTTGTGTGTGTGTTTGGATACAGCTTTAGAAATGTGTGTTATACAGTTATAAACTAAACCACAGCAACAAGGAGAATTTGGGGGACACACGCAGTTCTGTTTTGTGTAAAATATGAACAAACCGAGTGACGCAAATGGATATATATCTAGGGTTCTGCGGTGTAACCCAAGGCTGCATGGTGTCCGCGTAACAACAAGGTGTGAATGTAGGTTTGTTCATGATTGTGGGTGTGCACACGCGTAGGTGTGTGAGTATGAGTGTGAGAGTTTGTGCATATGTGTGTCTCTGCTGCCCTCTGACTGCACCGCAGGAGGAAGTCAGCGGGTACAAGAGAGGTGAGGGGAATTCTCACCGAGGTGTGACAAGCCTTGTGGTAAGTATGTTCAGATAGCAAACTATTGCAAAATTGCACCTTTCCACTGGACACACACACACACACACACACACACACACACACACACACACACACACACACACACACACACACACACACACACACACACACACACACACACACACACACACACACACACACAAAAGGTATTTCCAAATTGCAAATTGCCTGCCATGTGTCAACTCACTTAAGAAAACATGACAACTCTGATGGAAAGGGAAAACATTTTTTATTTTTCCACTGGTATGATGCTAAATGTGTTGAATAGAGTTCATTTTAAACCAAAGGGCTGTCCATTCTTACCACAAACATTACTTTATATTTAGTGAACAATGTATAGATACTCAATTTTTTGCAATGTACTGCACATGTTTCCTTGTACAATTTACAAGTGCTTTGAATATAATTTTCTTGAAAATGTCTTTCGAATTAATCAATCGAAATTAAGCATTTAAAAAAAAGACCATACGTCGAACTTGTTTGAGTTAGACTTGAAATGGCAAGAACAACATGTTTTTTAGAGGAATTCGGAGCAAATTAGACATGAATTCTCCAGTGACGTCTCTATAGAAGTTGAATACACAGCAATGTCTTCCCACACCCTTCACAACAGCTGTAAAGTCATTACTGTACCTTCTGTTCAAACTGTGACTTCATGGAGTTCCACTGAATGTCCCACTGCTTGTTCACCTCCAGTACCTGGAAGGATTGGCAGAAAGTGAAACAAATGACAATCGACATAGGAAACTAAGCACACAGAGACTTTCCCCTATGGCTCAAAGAGGATGAGCAGTAAGCACAGAAAAAGACTCACATCCTTTCTCTGCTTCTCCAAAAGCTTGATCTTCTTTTCATACACCTCAACATCACAAGGCTTAGTTGGGGTTTTCTCTGCAGCTTTTCCACTCTGGGGGCACACAAACCATGTCTTAATGCACAACTTTCCTCCATTACTGTAACATCACATGGTGACTGGGGAAGTTTTAAGTCACAAGGTAATTGAGGAACCTTTTCTTAAAAAGGGTAAAGCTTTACATAAAAATGTATATGCCATGTTAGCGGAGCAGATTTATCAATATGAAGTCATAAAGGCAGGTCAAGTTTATTTATATAGCACCTTTCAACACAAGGCAATTCAAAGTGATGTCTGCACATGGTGAAAAAAACATTTTACTATGTAATTGAACTACCTTCTGCGGTGTGGTGGCCTCCATCTTGGGTCTCACAGCGGCTGACTCTTCCTTCACGGGTTCCTCTTTGGCCTCTGGAGCTTCGGTGTCAGGTAGCGCTGTCGTTGATGCCGCTGCTCCTCCTGTGACCAGCTCCTTAAGTTTCTGATTCTCCTGTCTGAATAGGCAAGGAAAGGAAATTGATAGCGTTTGTGAGCAAGGTCCCTTCCCGGAGGTTGTTGAAGTTTGAACAAGGCTTCAGGAAGTTCCTTTGGGAAGAACCTACTATGCCCGCTGGGCTCAATGACGCAAACAGAAAGCAGTGGTATAATCCCCCATCAAAATGAAAGCAAGTATCAAAATGCAGGACAAAGTCAAAGTAGTGTAGGATTTGTCATCAAATATTAACAGAGGGCTGCTTTCAATACATTCAAAAGGTTAATGAGAAACAAAATGTTCCTATGGTTGGAAAGAAAATTACCAGAGGAATTAGAATAATCTGTCAATAGTGGTTGTATTACCTGTAGGCAATACAGTGCAGATGTTAAAAATATATATTTGACCTTTCTAACAATACAGGTGCTGCTCCAGCAGAAGCAACACAAAGCACAGTCAAGTGAAAAAGAGAACATTAAACACATTACTTCAGATGATCCAAGTCATGATTCCTGATATGATGATCCTCTTCCATTTTCTTTCGAAGCTCATTGTTCTCCTGTCTGAGCTGCTCACAGAGAGTCTACAAAACCAAAAGAAGAAACAATCACTTCAACACATGAAAACACAGAAAACTTGAATTCAAACATAATCCAAGTCATTGCAAATAGTGCCGTATATATATTTGTATTCTCTCCTCAGAAATATTTGTATTAGATTTTTTTTTTTCAGACAACAGCAAACATCAACACATTACACATTTACCCCTTCCCCAAACAGACCTGAACAATATGTGCAAGGATATGACATCTCTGGAGTACAAAACAAAAAACAAGAGACAGTAGCTGGAAGTCTAGGACAATAGAAATAGTGCTGTATTTTTTAAATAAAAATTAGGCCAAGTTGGTTTTTGGAAGTTCCAAGTCGTGACGCATTTTCACTGGTACTGGCAACAAATATGCAGCCTCCTCTTTGTGTGAAAGATAATGTCATATAATCCCTAAAATTTGTATTGGAAGTATTCTTTTCAGATTATACTGCAAGTCTATTTCTTTTGCAAAGCACTGCACAAAATAATGTTATTAGTTAAAAAGACAGTTTGCTCAAATAAGGAAAGCTTGAGATGAGTGCCATGTGCAGTAATTGTTGTAGTTGTTGAGTGTCATGACGCAGCAAATGTTAAACCCACGGATAACTGTGTAAGACACCAGAACTGCTGTTGCAGTGGGAAAACAACATTAGTCAGAGAAGAACTTTGTACATACAAACTCAAATAACTTTATCCTCTCTCAATGCTCTACAAATATAAGATACCACAAAACAACGTATTTCCAAAATGTATTTAACTATAATTACCATTATTACCAACCCTAGCTTCAAGTGCATATAAAGCCATGTTTGAAAAAGAAAAAGAGGTAATGTTAGCTTTGGCATTTTATATTTCTGTCAGCAGCAGTGTGGCATACCTGTAGGAGGGAAGTCCTCTGTTCATTCTTCTGGACCTTAGAGGAAAGATGGTGAAACTCTACAGCCATGCGACCGAGGTGAGCCAGGAGCTGGTTGGGGTTGGACTCCTCTGCGAATATGCTGAAGGAGCTCTCTAGTCTCTTCAGCTGGCTGGCTAGCTCGAGGTTCTCCTGAGGCAGGACGGGGATTAACCCTGCCACTGACCCGGCCTGGAGATAACACACAGCTAAACAGTCAGTCAATGCTTCTCAAGCTGACTAATTACAAATGTAGTTCAACCAGCACAAAACTGATAGAACATCATAGTGTAAGAGTCATGCTGCTTCTATTTCTATGAAAAGCTGCAGCTGATATATCTGGAGAGGCAAACCAGTTGTTCCTGTTGGATCTAAATATAGATATAGATCACAAAACAGAGTTGCTAACATTTTTACCAAAAATATTTTGTTTAGGTGTGGAACTGTGCCAAAAAGGTAAGCCATAGAATGTTATAATAGGCCAGGCTATCCTATGAAATTACTTTTGTCAACCTTTGGGCCTGAACTGTTCTGGCAGGTCCTATTAGGACATCCTTTAGGATGAAGTGTGTGACTGTGGATGAATCAGCCAGTAATAATCCTGGACTTTCCCCCGGGCTGACTCAGGCTGGAGCTACCAGTATTGAGTTTGATGGTGAGTCACCACACTAAGGATATGTTCCTAATATTAGGGAAATGGCTATAAAGAGGAAAGGTTTAATTTAGCCTAAATAAATCACACACAACAAATCACCTTTGGGAATTAGCACCAAAAGCATTTTGATCATCTAAACATGTTAGATGTTTGGTAAATGTAAAGACTTTTGGAAAAGTACAAAAAGGCGAGTTCCTGTGATACTTGGAAAAAGATTTGTCATCATTTGTCACAAAAAATCTGATACGTACAGTCAAGGCGTCTGAAGTCTTTCCATCTACATTCACAACCTCAAACTCCGCAGAGGCCTCCTGTAAAGAGCACAACTGTAAGTAGCACCAAAGTACTCGCAGTGCTAATTGCATCTATACACTTTTAGGAATAAAGTAAACATTCTCCAGTTACTTACATTAGGCTTCTCTGGTTGTAGGGCTTTTCCTAAACAGCTTGCTTGCTCCTCCTTTTGCTCTGTAGTGGGGTTAAACATGGTTTATGAAATAAGCCATTCAATAACAAGGTAAATACAACTTTAAGGTAGAAGAGCATGCCGTATGGTTACAACACTGCCCTGAGTAATATTAATAAAGTCATAATAATCCTCTGGTATGGGTGACCTACTTTGTGTCTCACTCTGAATGGGTCCCCCCATACAGAGACTGGCAACAAAGCTGGAGGACTTCAGGGCTTCATTGTCTCTCACTAGTTCCTCCACTCGCTGCCGCAGCCTTGATGCCTCGGTCTGAGACTCTTCCAGCAAATCACCTGCAGGTTTCAAAGAGATCTTGTCTATATCCAGAAGTGCTTCCCTCTATCAGCATGAGCAGTCATCATATATGATACTAAAGAGGTTTATCGAAACATTACATATAAGTAACACTCCTTTGTTGATTCACACAAGGAGCAATCAGGCCGCCGCCGTCATCGCATGCCAGCTTTTCAACAACCCTTCCCCAATGAAGAACATCAGGTTTTACTACATTCCACATTATTTTAGCTGCGTGACCGTTTCCCTCCCCTATGTGTTTATTCTTACTTTAAACTAAGTCATGTAGTCTATTAATGGCAGACACGTGAGGCCTTGTCTTGTCATTTTTAATGGTGAATTCAAAATGAAGATCAAAAAACGAATTTAGTGCTGCTGCCAAATGCAAGCTGCACACTGTTTACTACAATAAATAAACTAATGCTCTTGACATACACCAATCTGCAATAATGTTATCCTCATGTGTTAAGATCACTGTTGTCCACAACTTTGTGTTACCCAAGCCGTCTTTAGGAACTTACCTAGACTCTTAAGACCCTTCATCCTCTCCCTCAACATGCTGTTCTCCTCCAGCAGCTGTCGGTAGCTGCTGCCCGCCCCGGCCTGCTCCCTGGCCTTAACCTCACTCCCGCCTGGATCATAGATGCGGTACGGGCCTTTCCCTTCCATCGCCGTTTCTCACTTCTTAGACATGATCCTCTGAACTGTGGAAAGAAGAGAAAAACTGTCAATTACAACTTAATTAACAACATAGAAAGTACTGGAAACTATTCAACAGAACATAAAATAATACAGATTTTTTGCTGAAGTTTTTTGTAAACAATAGGTGCTGACAGTAAAGACTTTAAACATGGAGGACTAAAGACTTGTGGTCCTCCACTGGTCGCAAGAAAGCATGGTAAACAGTTGCATTTGACTTAAAAGTGTCAAGTGTACTGATCAAAGAGTCAACATAAAATGTGGAAACCCAAATGTCATGCAGAGGAAGGAAACGAATGATCAGAACCTGTTATGTTACAGTGTGAGAACATCTAACAAATGTTGTTCCTGGTACTCCTTTGTCACAGATTAAATAGAAACCACCAACTCACTTTGTAGTGTTTCTGCGAGTTACCCAGCAAGAAAAAACGTTCAACTCTTCTTTCAGTTTATTTATAATTTATAGCAGGACGAGTGTAAACTATAGGTGAAGCCCGTTGAAGAAAATACCGATCAGCCTTCAGCTTTGAGAGGACAAAAGCAGGAACAGAGTCATCGTTATGCTACCCTGGCAGAGTGAAACAAATGGCAGGAATGGGCTAACGTTTGTGATAGCTATATATGTCAAATACAACGTTCATAACCGAAGGCAAAAAGGACAAAAGCAGAGGGAAAATCCCTAGATGTTACGTGAATCCTGCCAACAAACATCTAACCAATAGACCAGAGTCAAATAAAGCACAATCTAGCAAATTATAGCTACCTTGATTGGCTGAAAAAGGCTAATATTAGTTTTCGCTGTTGTCATGCAAATTGCTAGCAACATCCTTGTTAGCTGTCGGCTAGCTAACACTAGATGACAGTGCGGGACAGTAAGCCGTTAGCTCCTCTTTTCTACCCACTACAGATATTTTAATCGATGCACGAAGTCGGTCCCAAAGTGGAGTTAAACGACAAACGAGAGAACAAAGAGGTCTCTGTTGTCTAGATACCTTTCAGCTCGCAGTGGCCTCTCTCGTCTCTCTGCCAGACATCTATTGCGGAAGTGGTCTACTGGTCTATGCTGTAACCCGGGAGTTTCCACCTCGTTTGATGTAAACAGCGAGTGACTGACAGCCCGTCGGACCAATCAGGGCGCAGCTCTCTGTCAGCGGGGGAACCGTAATGTAAACATTCGATCGAAATGCTTCACATTCATAATTCATGGTAAATATTTGATCAGAATGACTCAAGATGGCCTATACATTTGTACATAAATATACGGAAATAATCGCCTGTATGCCACAATGACACTAGGGTGAGTAAAACTGCAGCCGGATCTTTGTCTTGTTTATTTAAATTCATTTCTTATCCTTTTTTAAATTGACAATTGACACTCATCGCGACTCGTCATATAGTCATAGTCCCAAGATTTTCACAGAATTACTTTTTAACTCATTGATACATTTAGAGAAGGGGCTGGTGGGGTTTTCTGTGATTGCATCACACATTTCTTGTGAACTGAGGAATAAGGCCTAGTTCAAGTTACACTAAAGTGAGTGAGTCCACACTATGGGTAAATGAGAAATACATATATTGTATGTAAGCTGCTCAGAGATATATAATGTTTATATTGTGATAGGGCTATAAGTTATTGTATTCATCATTATTTAAACTGACATTAGTTTTCTTTATTAATTATTGCTTAGTATATACAACTAAAAACATACTCTAACAATGAATACATTTAGTAAATTGTGGTTTTTGAGTTTTCACATTTTATGACTAATCGACTAATCAATTAATTGTTCTAGTTTTGACTTAAATATGTTAATATATAATGGGAATATATTTACTTTCAAATACTGTGATGAAATGTAAATATCATGAGTTACTTGTCTTGAAGTAAAATGCAATTGACCTTTTAAAGGTTTTGTCAGTCACAGGTAAGGAATTTGTTAAGAAGCAGTGTGCCACCATTTTTCAGAGCTTTATTTCAGGCCCTTGACTTACCAAACATTAACAATTCCGAACAATAGTGACATCTTGTGGGAAAAAAACCACAGGTCACCAGTGGTTACTTCCTCAATGATTTACAAAAAGCATTATTTGGTTAACTGTAGATCTATAATGGGTCATAATAATTATGAATAAAACTACCAAAAAGTATTTAATATATATAGAAACATCTATGAATTACAATAGAGAAAACAAATACCACAGTTTGTCCACAAAAACCATTAAGGCAAACATTCTCGACAATGATTTAAAATGTCATAGCATCAGCCTTGGAGGTCTTATCTGGAAGCATGCTGTGTTAACACAGGATATACCCAGTTTGCAAATTATGTTTGCATGATTGAATGCTTTATTATCAGTATACAGTATCTAAACTAATCAGTATGAAAAGCTTGTTTTTTTATATATATATATATCCCCACCATTATTACTTCCTCTAAGGGAAAGAAAGTGCACCAATAATATAATGCTCTAATAGAAACCAGTTAAGATTGAAACAGGTTTTCACGATACTGCTTAGTAGCTAGTTTTATTTTTTTTGTGATAGTTGGTTTGACTCCCTTATAGATTTTGTAACACACATTTTTCAATTACAGGAAATAGGTCGAAAAAGTCAGTAAATAAGTACCTTAGCAGCTAGCTAATCTTAGAAAATAAAATAGGTTAACTGAATACACATTTACATGGTATTTTTCATACAGTAAAACTGATAAAAGAGGTCCGATTGTAACTATACCAACACGTTTAACTAAAAATGTAGTTTTTGCCATGTAGAGCATGTATACAACATTCATGTACTTGACTTAAGACAATAAGTGAATTAGTGAGAAAAGAGACAACTATGTCCTGACTGTGCTTAAAAACAATAGAACTTATTTTTGACTTCCTTTTATACAAAACTGACTTTAACTGCCTTTAGTTCAATTGAAGTCACATGCCTCTTTTGTAATACAAAAAAAAAATGACAAACAATATACTTTTAACCTTGTATGTGGAACCTCAGTGAACCATTGGCCAGAATAAAGCAAACATACAGTTCACACAGCATGCCAGCCGTGACCTTGTCCTTATTTATAGGAGCACAGTGTTTCAGTCTCAGGCTGATAAAATAACAAACAGGCCGGTGACTCTGAGCCTACCAAGCTCAAAAACAAAAGCCAAAGGATACAGGAAATGTCGCCAATCATTTAGTCTTCACGGGTAACAAACTGTGCACTTAGTTTTTTCCTCCCAGCTACTTATATATATAAATATTTGAAAGCATTTTCCATTGCACAAAGACAGAACAGTAAGTATGTACCCCACCCTGTTGAGACAAAAGGACGGTCTAGTCTCCCATATCTAGCAGCGGGTATACGCAGCTGATAGTCATTAGCTCTGCACTGCTTAATACAAAACGTCCTTTTGTCAGCCTATAGTGACTCCAGCTGTCTTCTCGGGTCCTGAACTAAAGACATCCTCACTGAACAGTATCATATGCCAGCAACGTGCACTGGCTCCCAATATTCTCATAAACATTGTTAGTTCTAAGAGGATCTTCATATTACTTCTTTTGAATGTTTTTATTTTTTACTGAGAATCGAAACCCTAGACAACAAAGAAACCTGTGTGACAGATTGGCAAGCATATTTCTGTCAGGCTGATGTAGAAATAATACAATTGATAAACAACACATTTCATGGTTAAGCTTAAATAGTGTTATATTTTTCTTAACATGGATTTACCTCCATATTTGCTCTTAGTAAATAACAAAAATATATTTCCGACAGAGTATTTGCCTAGGCAAGTAAGTACCCCGAATACAAACAAAAAAACATACAATAGAGATTGTAAGTTACAAATCAATCTTGTTTAGGAAGAAATCAATCTTTTCATGTTGTGTTTCCCTTTTATGTAATGTTCCAAATTCAAACTAACGTCATTCATTTCACTGACATCTTAAAGTTATTCAACCTGCCCTAGAAGTAATAAAAAACAAAAACATGACAGCATCACAACTATTGAACATAAATATAATTTGCTCTGTTACCTGTAAAAATAATAAACAACAACTCACCCACACATTCAGCTTCTGCCGGAGAGAGGCGCTTTTTAAGGAAACTGGTGAATAGGGGGGAAGCAATTTCACTGAGACTTGGGGAATTCCCATAACCCAGTAAAATGGCCTGATACTGTACACAGTTTTTGTCCAACTGTGTGGCCTGCCATCTTTATACAGTGGATTGCTGCACGTAAACCATGTGGCACACATTAATGCATGCTTACAAAACTAAATGATAGAGAATGCCACACAATATGACACATGACACAAAGAGAGGACTAAAGGAATATTTACAGATGACCTCTTATACTCAAGTATACAATACTGCATGTGTTTTTATTGCATGATCAAATCATGATGCCACTTTAATTATTGCAACTGTAGATAAAAAAAAGTCACATTTTAAAATGCACTCATAAATCTCTAAAATATTTAAACCTTGGTGAATTTATTAAAGAGGAAAATCTAATCTGTTCTGAACAACACCCCAGTTCAAACTTCCCCAAGCTGTTAAAAGGGAAATTCAAATTTGCATATTTGACATAGTCAGCAATCTTACAAAGTGCTACTGAAGTAATCTCTTAATTTCTCATAATCATCATCAAATGGAGCAATTTAGGGTTGGGTGTGCCATTAAAGTGTGACTGACTGCTGCAGACTCTATTTGTTGCCTTGGATTTTGGCGTACTGCAGGGGATTTCCTCGCCACATACGTCTTTTTTCTTCTTTCCTCTTTTAACTCAAAGATGGCCTGACAACAGCTGCGCTCACAAATACGCAATGAACTGAGACATTGACAAGAAAAGAGACAGCTGCCATGTACTTTTCTACAAGTAAACAAGTCCAACTAAGACACATAAAATGAAGTGCTAGTTGACATGTTTAATCGGTTTCACTGTAAACAACATATTTTCTTTTGTTCATTTAAACGTATAGAGGTATAAATAACTGTTCAGTCATAGTAGGCCATCATGTATCCAATGAAGTCAAGCTATAATTCTACAGTGTATTTAAATGTCAAGCTTGATTTGTTTGACACATAGGCCTACAATGTAAGTTAGCTGCTATCGCTATAATATCTGTAATATATCTATAGGAAAACTATGTGTTTGAATACATTTAAACTATTCTGTAATATCACCCTTTATTAACATTCATAGGCTAGTAAAGAGTTATCAATAATAAGAATGTGGGCATTTTTGAGTTTGCAGATCAGGCGTTGAATTGAAGTGGGAGTTTCCTGCTGTTATATATTTTGGTTCCTTTTCTGCTCGGCCCACTGCTATAGCCAATATCAACAGAGTTAATAATTGAACCGCCCTGCCAAACACAAAACCAGGGCACCACACCCAGAACACATACTGTAAAAAAAAGGGAACAGAGAGAGGAAATTAGTATTATTTACGGTGACACTTTATATTAAGGTACACAAATTAACCATCAACTAGTTGTTAATTAACATGCATATTAGCAGTATATTGGATCTTTATTAGTCATTATAAAACACTTATTAAGGCTTTATTCTACATGACCATATTCTACAAGTAATAAGCCATTAGTTGAGAGTTTTTCCTCAATAACCCTCTAATTAGTGCTTATTTATTGCAAGTAAGGAAGTTGTTGTACGAGTTTTGCTCTTAATATGCTCTGCTCAATATGG